ATTGAAATGTGTTCATCTTGTTAATAGCAACAATAAGTTATTTAACATCAAGTGTATAAGCCAAAAGAGCAAGTTTACGAGTTTAATTATCTTTGGAAATAGAAGCTTCATTAGTATTATCTTTAATATTTTCTAGCTTCTTGTTTTATATTTATATACTATCTAATCTTAATTACATCTAATTCAATTAGTTGATTATCTGTTAACTCTTTTATACCATTTACTATAATCTCTTGCTTTTCAAAAGATTTTTCTAAAGCGGTATATATTCCTTTACCATCATAAATTTTATCCAACTCATAAAAAAAATTATTTAAAGAAATATTATATCTAGTAATAGTTTGGGGTTGAGGTATTTGATAATGAAATGAATTATAAGGATATATATATGGATTAAAGCCTGGTGGCATAGTTGGTAGCATATTTGATAGTGTAGCTGGTGATATGTTTGGTTGTATAGTTTGGTGAGACATAATTTGACCATTTGGTTGTATAGTTTGGTAAGACATAATTTGACCAAAAGGTGTAATTTGATTATGAAATACAGATTGATCGTGAGATGTAATTTGATTATGGGTTTTGGGTTTTGTAGCATGAACCATTCCAAATATAGGATAGGTAAATGGCATATCAATTGTAGACAAATTTCTAATCTATAAATATTACAATAAAATAAATAAATATATATATATTTCAATAATAATCAGGCCTACTAAAAAATTAATTGTAGTTAATTTTTGTCATTTATTATACGATTAAAATCAATTAAAATTAAATAATTGCAATTTTCTTTTGTAGAGCACTGCCTAGTATAACCTGGTTTTTAAACAGCAAAAAATCAAAAATCACATATCTGATATTTACAATCTTAACGGCAAATATGTGTTATGTGTAAAATTGCAATTAATTGACCAATTGTGGCTGCACCACTAATCAATTAATTAAGCTTGAAGCATTGCAATTAATTGCCCCTACAGGGTAGGCCTGATAATAATATCATTAGTTTATATAAATTATATATATACTATATACGAGCTTATAATGTTAATTGAGCAGGATTTAACTGGAGATGGTGTTTATCTTCAACATAACATAGTGTAACATGTCATGAACATTTATATTTATCTCGAAGTTCCATAATAACTTGAGCTTGATTATACTTGTCTAGAGTTAATACCTCTATCCAGATTTATATATCCGAATATATACTATGTCATATGATATAACATGACATAATGTATTTTTTTTTTTTTTTTTTAATATTAAGGTGACCACTTAGGTTCCTCAGCACTTAGCTTTATTCAGGTAATTACGATATTATATCAATTTCACAAGGATACAACTAGCCACACGTGTACTTTTGGTACCTAATTTAAGTAGTCCACCTGGGTTCTACAC